TTAAAGTAAAAAAAAAAAAAAACCAATAATGTCAAATTACTAAAAAAATTTCAGCGTAGATACCCTCATAATAAATAATACACATTGTTAGTAACAAGAGTACTCAACTAATTGACTCGTCTATTACGTGTCTGCTGCCAGTAATAAATAGTATAAATTGAATAAAAATAGAAAATTATATGTTTAACAAGTGTTTAATAATTGGTAACTACAAAGTACCTATTTTATACAATTTCAATAACATTATATTCGTATAACACGTATATTTCATGTAAGTAAATAGAATAATTATTACAGGTTATGAGTCCTTTCTCAATTTGTCACTTCAATGACAAGATATCTTATACAATTACTCATCTATATGCGTTAGTGTATAATGTAGCTTATAATAAGATTGGCTGTATTTCAACTTTTGATACCGGTATCAGGTATTTGTTACTGCTAGTATCAACCTCGTAACCTCTAATACTTAAGGTTTTTCGGTGAATCTAGTAAAGTGTATTCTAACTCAATCAAATTTCATGTTTATTTTAAATATTAAATTTGTAATTATTTAAAAAAAATATTTTTAATATTTTTTAATCCAGTGAATTTTTCCGAAAAATAGAGTAAAACAGTCTTAGAATCTTTGATTTATAACGTATCTTATACATAGATATGTATATTCAAATTCAATCATTCAATCAATAAACTGTTAAAAAATTCAATATTAATTTTTTTACATATGTATCATAAACAAACATTTATTTTAATCATTTTTATCATAGAACGGACCGTGCCCCAAATTACAGTAATACATAGAATTTAAACAATAAATAGGTAATATAGAGGCACAATTAACAAAAAGAGGTAGATGGGTATTCATTGACAAACCGCATCATCCTGAATATAGGTCTATTACGAGAGTAATTAGTGGTGCAGAGTGATATGAAAAAAGGGTAACGTGTGCGTGATTGAAAATTAGGGATCTTGAAGTTATTCAACTATTTTTCATTAAATTATATATTAGTTTTATAACAATATAAATTAATTAACTACATCGGTGTAATTACGGAAGTTGAAAAAGGCTGATGAATTTTCTAGCCCTCCTAAAAGTTTTTCAATCTCTCCCTAAAGCAAAAATCCAAATCTTTCATCGTTGCATATAAAAACGAAAATTCTTTGGTCCAATGTTTAAAATAATTAATAATATATGTGTATATAGGCTTATAAAATATATACTGTACTTATTTTATTTTCAATACCGAAAGAGTGACGTTTTTATGAAAATTTATTTTCTACTTTTATTATACAAGATTCCTTGTAACTACTAAACATTAGTAATAGGTACTGTGTTTGTGCATAGGATTTATTCTCCACAGAACTTAAATTTTATTTTTTTAAAACTATATTTTATTACTATTAAATCCTAACTACATTTATGACTTATGAGCCTTGAGCAAGAGTAACTATAAAATTCTTCAATTAAACTGTATTTAAAAAATGTTATAAACAATTAATGATTATGATTATATTATATTCAGTTATTATTTGATTGCGTAGTCATAAAAAATGTTCGTTAAACGGTATCGTGATATTTTCAAAAACAACGGTAATAATCAAATCACAGAAGATAATTGTGGTGTTATTAAATACAAAATATAGCGCCAGCTCTACAACAAAAGCTAACTGTATTCTAAAATTACGCTTCACGAACCGGATGGCCTGGATTATCACTACCTGTGATTCACAAGTGCATTATAATCTTCCAACTTTTAAAACTCCACAATTCCTACAATTTTTAAAAATGTACAGTCTTATTTTCCTCGATGTCAGTCAATCGTTCGTAATAGATTAATTTTTGTTTGAATTTTGCAATAATTCAATATCACCAGTATCCATCATATGACATCATTTCGTTGATCGTTATACTTACGGTCGATGAAATATATAAAATGTGATAACTAATAAGTAATAACAATGGTCCTATTTTTAAAATAGAAATTTAATCTGTACTATCAAACTAATTTAAGCTATCGAAGATTTTGAAACACTAAAAAACATAAATATAATGTTAGTACAGTTAAAATAGGTAAATTATATCCTTTGATAATATTTTAAAAATGATGATGTACCGAGAGTCGACTGCATATTGTTTATATACGTTTTATAGTTGCGTTGTTACTTATACACATACATTATATAATAAGAAATTGCAAGAAAATAGAATGAGTAACTAGCATAATATTATTATGACTTATGTACCGTTATGTACTAGGAAATGGTTTTTTTTCAATCAAGCGCTGTGGTTTATAAAATGTCACAATTACATTTGTTAACGATTATTCGTATATAAGTTATGTAACACTACTAATTATGCGTGTTGTGATAAATTACTAGTAATTTTTTTTTTTTTTTTTTTTTTTTTTTTTAATCTATGAACTGATGTACAGATTATAATCAAACGTAAAGATAATTACAATTCCTGTTCAGATTTAATTCGATTAAGATTAAAAAAAACTACAGTGCGCGCTCTTGCTTGGGATTGGTATGTCTAAAAACAATACTGTTAATTTATTTTTATATATTCGTATCGATTTGATCGTTGGGAAAAAATTAATCAATCATTAAAACTAATTAAAATGTATGAACTAGTCTATTAGTTGCATTCTGTGTGAACACGTCATATATCGTCAGACGAATAATTATTATCGCGATTGCTATACTTTGATAAATGTTTATTACGCCTTTTTAAACTTTGGTATTGAAACTTGATTTTATGAATAAAAAAAAGGAAACAAACCTTTGGCCGTTGATTATAAATTTTAATTGCTTAAAATATAATACTATCTCTAATAATATCAGAACTTTTATAGTTGTTTCTTTGAGTGTTTCACTTGACTTTTCTTTGTAATTATAATATATTATTGTTTAATATGTCAACAATTATTTAAATATATGTTTTTTTCTTTTACATTTGGAATACGTTATATTTACCCAATGTTACGACGTTTATATTTTGAATTATTTGTATAATAATACAACATAATACATTACAGAATGTCAGGAGGAATTTAGAGTTTGATAAGAGTTGAAACAAAAAAAAAAAAAAAAACCATCGAATGCACGATTTGTATAATAATATCATCTTGGCATGCTATAATTAACCAGGTACGTATAATGTAAACACGAACCGACGTTATTGTAGCATATTAGTATATTACACGAGTGTGATATTTAAATGAACAAGCCAAGTATTATAATACAGCATATCCAAACAGACGACGACTGTGATTCATCGCCACGCGTAATTTTATGGAAATAAATAATAATATTATCGAATAATATAAAATGTATCCCACGAGCCGTGGTCGATTGAATCCAATTGGCATTTATGTATGGGAAATATGGACAATTTGGTAATTATGCAGTAGGTAATAATTATATTGAAATATTGAATGTCGTTCACATATTTTTTCATATATATATATTTTTTTTTTTTTTAATTTACCGAAATCACTGCTACAACAAACATATTAAGGTAACCTAACCTGATCTAACCTACAAAGATATTCGAACGCTTAAACGGAGTAAATAAATATATTCTATTGTATTGTAAATCCGATACGAAATAATCGAAGTATACCGGACACAGGGCCATATAATTTGAAATTAATCCTTGGGTTCAGAGGTCGTGTTTTAATTTTTGCGTAATACAAAACGGTATTCGTTTTATAGTATAATTGCATTGACACACTCCAAGTCACAAGAAAACAATGTTAAACGCGGATCCACGTGGTTAACTATACATGTCTGTCGTGGTTTTTCGACAAAAATACATGCACATACATATGTATTGTATATATATATATATATATATATATATATATACGCGTGTAAGTGTTCTTTATTCGTCGTATTCATAAAATATATAAATAGTAAGATAGGTACCTACCTACAATTGCGCGTTTCACCTCGGCATGAGACTTATCGCAGAATATTGCCTTATACGCTGTAACGCTGTATAATAATATATATGTCTACTAAACCCTATTTAGCTCTGTGACGTAACCGTGTAAAACAAAACAAAACGTAATAATATTATGTGGCCATTGTTTGTATACACCTCTATACATTAAATAATAAATATATTACATTTAAAGAACACGCTCTAATGACGTTTGGTGAAATCCGTGATGCGCGGAGATCGCAACTCCCCTTTTAATACACGAATGCTTTTTCGTAAAACCAAGAATTCGTTTGAAATCGAACAGCAAGACGTAGGTCGTATCTATTCGCTTCGATATTGTATTAGGTATTTAAACAAATACTACACGAAAAATAGTATGCAGTATTATACGGATTTATAGATATTTTGGAGTAGGTAGGTACCTATATTTGAGTTGGTCATGATAAATGATAGATAATGTATAATAATCCGTACGAAGTATATACTTAACAGCTAACGGTGTAATAGTGTAACCCCCTATTATCGAATTTCACAAATACGCATCAAAACATATCTTATATATTTAAATTGCGTCACTAATATCTATATTATATACCAGCTAGTACGTAGATACTGAATTCAAAATTGTCGTTTGGCTATTGCTATTTTTTCAATCGATTTCAATAATGATTAATAATTATAGTCTATAATAATATATATATATATATAGGTACTATTATCTTATTTATCATTGAAATTTTATCGAAAACTCTATAGGTCAAGTAAAAAACTTAACATACATTTATATTTTTGAAGCGTTTTCGATTCAAAATCACTTACTTGCAGTTGATGTACGCGTGCATATTATTAAGTGCGTTATATTTTATCTCATAGTTATTTACCGTTCGATTACCATAATCGTCTAATTAGAATATCGTGGTTTGTTTCGTATTATTTAAAGATATTATTAAACAGTCTCAAAAGTGCAGCCGTAGCGTAAAATTTATTTGATTTTTTTTTTTCTCTCTCAACGGCCATGGTGAAAGGCCGGGCAGTAAGATAATCAACTCACCTGGTACGACAGCGGCGCCCATTTGCTTGCTGCTCCTGGCCAAGGTGAGCGCAATCAGTGCACAGTCGAACAGCGGCTTGGTCAGGTGCGAGTACAGGTGCGCCACGGACGACGTGAACGCCGTGATGTCGTCCGTTAACCGGTGGTCTGCGTTCTCGATCCGGCCGTCCATGTTGCTCACCCTATAGTAAGTCTGGTCCTTGAAGTACATACCGTACGCGTGGTTGACCAATCGAGTTCTAGACGAACAAAATCCATTGTCAAAACTCGTATATAAGTATATTGTACATGCATAAATGATATAAGATGTATAATGTATAATGTATATATATATATACTGTGATAGACCAGTATTTATATTAAATCATGTATATATATATATATATTTGTTAAATAAGTTTCTCCTATATATTATGTATGGATTGTATTGAAATGTGATCGAAGAGCATAATAGTTATAGCTGTATAGCAAAAAACGTTTACATGCAATTTTCAGGTTGTGCGGGTATTATCGCCATCGATAATACCAATAATAATATAATTATAACTTCAAACCCGTAAAATATGATGACAAATATTAGATAATATATTGTTATTAGAAAAAATAATAAAAAAATTAAATAACGTTAAAATTATCGATTGAATTCAAAATTTTCCAAATGGCGGATTAATACATTGTTTTTCTCTATCACAATCAGCTATTGGTACCCACAACCGTATAATAACCAATATGGCCAATATGGGACTATTATACTCTTCGAACACTTCAGTATAGGTACCGTGTACATGAACATATACCTAAATCTTAAACCCCCCCCCTCCCCAATTCAAAAATTCTGGTTACGCTACTCAGTATAAAAGGCATGTGATATTTTCTAATACGTATCTGGCCCCGCATGAACCAAAATGTTTTCCTGAACTACTCAAAAATATGACGTATACAGTATAGGTATAAGCCACACTCATAAGCGCTTTCAACTCTCAAAACTTATTTTGCCCCACCCCGACACTCAGACCATCGTCGACGTAATATCAAATATACCTACATAGTATATCAATATCATATAATGGTACAGTTACACAGCAGCAGACGTAGTAAAACTGGCCGGTATTTTCGGTTTTAAACACCGAATACCGGTATTCAAATTCTGAACACACGTCCTACCACAGTACCTACATTAAAGCCAATCGATATTGTGCGCTGTAATATTAGCAGGATTTGCAGTTGTGTTGTACATACAATAATATGATGTGCGTGACACTACCCGTCCGTTAAGAGCGTTTAGACTTGAAATCACAGTGCGCGTACTTCAATGTATACTTACATAGTTTATTACGTGTACAACAAGGCGCGTGAGCTTATATTATTATGTGTGTCGGTATAATAATAAAACGCAGAATACCCGTAGTTCGTCGTCGCATTCATATCGAACTACGTCGACCAGCTTGGAATACGATTTTTGCGGTATAATGTTTAGTTTTAGGTGATCTATTACGTTATAATATTACACTATATTACTATAATATAATATCATGTTATACGTGTATAATAACAATTTGAATGTTTGTTTTGTTCAGTCAGCGTACGCGTGAAATGTGTACAAAACAAATGTTTTCTTTTTCTTTTAAAAATATTTTACACATTTTATCAGCTAAATGTACTAATGTGAATATTGTAACGGTTTGTTTGTTTTTATTTAAAATAACATTTTAATAGTAATACATTAGAAACGAGCACTAGCTTAAATATAAAATAATTATACTGAAAAAAGTTTTAATAAACATTAGCTGCTATTAGTATTATGTGTTAATTCGTCTTGGTTTGATTAAATTATAGACCAATGAATTGCAAACGATGCAATTTTAATTATTAGGTATTTGTGTTGGTATAATAAGGTTTTTTTTTTTTTTTTGCTAAGTATAATGGTAAATATCAAAATAAATTAACTTTTAAGATAATTTATAATTTAAACGTAACGATACCTATATGCCAATATGTATACCTACATCATATTATAAGTCCGAAAAAAA